GCTTTCAAAAAGATTGAAAAGGAGCCGGTTATACTTTACTTGTACTGCTGCATTATTTAACAGAAATTCGGTCGGGTCACGCGTCACCTCTCAAACATAGAACTCTATCATCAAGTTTGAATAGTGGAAAGCTAATAGTACTGGTGTATATGGATTCAACTATTTCGCGGCCTGTGTCAACCTCTTACTTAGTCGAGACGTGGCTAGCAGACCACATTGTCACGATGGAGCCGTAGCAGAGGAAGAAATGATGACCGAGTTGATATCGGAGGAGGGCACACATTGCATATAGAATGGACGAGACCAAGAACCCTAGGAGACAAAGCCGATCACGAGCGACACTTCGCTAGGAGATCCAAACCCAGCTGGCTTTTGAGGAATCTGAAATGGAGGCTCTTTACGATATCATCGATTAGAGTTATGCCACAGAGCGTGGAAGGGAGTTCCATAGTGTAAACCAATCGATTTTGCTGTTATTAACGCTATTCCTATAAGGTATCTGGCATAGCTTAATAACGAGAACCGCAAATGCCTCCCCCTCGTCGAGCCGTTCGTATGGTCTCATCAAAACACATCCAGCTATTCAAGCACTTAGAGAAAATACTTACATTTTTTCTGTTTTAACTTGCGCAAGCCATTGAAAGAGGCGCCTTTGATCTTTTTTTACAGCTTTAACTTTTGACACTTAATCATCTTACCGAAAACTCTGAAATCGTGAAAGCGTTTTATATGCTAAAACTTAATTAATGTATGTTCTCGATCGACGATCATTTGTATATATTTTCAGTAATAATATATACATACATACTAAATAATGATAGAGGCGGTCGTTGGCCACTATAGGGGATACGTTTCAGGTGCTAAGTAGACTGTCCGAGTGAAAATGTCCCAGAAAAAATGAAATGAAAAGTTTCAGTTAAGGTTAAAGAACGTTTATAATTAGTCTTCTATCAACTGAAAATTGTCTAACGGCGAATATGTTTCTTCAGCCAACTTGTATAACCTGTCTGCTGTAAATGTTTTGTTCAATTAATACGAACTTACCTATTCTTTTAGTTAGAGAGCGGCCAGTCTGCTCAACACGTGTTTGGTATACTCATAGTCGAAGCCTTGTTTCTGTTTGTCCGAAAGCTTAACGCCAGCTCTAAATATCGAGCCTTAACGCATGCTAGTGTTACACAAAAAACGTTTGGCTATAACATTGAGGTGTCGTCCTCATCCAATGAGCTGAGCTTAAGCGTTGCCTTGTTTATTCATACAATTAAGGGGTTTTGTGATGCACAGCCTTAAAATTGACTGGAGGTCTTGTTTGCCGTGGACCTATTACGATAAGGCACATCGGTTACACATCCCAGTTTGTGATTTACACGGGGTGAATTCACTGCAAAAACACGTTCCGCTAATGGAATAGTCAAATGAATTGTCCTGTTTCCGCCTCCAAAATACTCAATGCCATTCATCTACGACTTACAGATTATCAGATTGTGTCCATAACGATGAAAAATAAAAGGGTCACTCTCTTACCATAAACAGCTGGACAATCAACTTTCAACCTAAGAAAATGAAAAAAAAAAAGTTTTTATGGACATCTATGTTCCTACTATGATTTTCAATACATTTGCCAATACTACGTTATCCGCTATTCATAATCGAAAACGTTTTGTCGGACTTCAGTCTACAAATGGTACAATTTGTTTGGTAACTAGATAGGGAAATCCGTTACATACGGTTTCTTTACATACTGATTATCCATACCAATTTTGGAGAAGCAAACACTGACCAGGTTATGACATAGCACATCGTATGGACTAATGAATAGCTTCCTGCGTTCCATTTCCTTTATCTTTACGCTATATTCAATGATAAGGGAATGTTTTGAATCTGCATTAGCGTTTTATCAAAAGCACATGGTAGAGACTATCCTTTATGAACTTTTCCTACCTCGAAATTGCAAATATCGTGATGAGTTTTCGAAGTTCGTGCGCGTACCGGAAGTCTTTCGAATTTTGCGTCTACCACAGTATTACCGTTAGGCATAACTCTATCAGACGGCTGGCTCTCAGCACGAAACAAAGCCTGTCTACGCCCGTATTCGAACCCAGCTGAGCGCATCACCCACTACGCCGTCGCGGAGACACGTACCGAGGACAATTTGATACCATTGACTGTAGTACATAATCACGAATCAGGAATTTTTGAATAAAGTTAATTTTTGTATTTAGAAGCTTTGCTATGCTCTAATACAATAAATGTATCAGAATCATTTTTAGTCAAGAATCTGAATGGATAATAGCTTTAGTTAATGAGTATGATTTCAACGCCACTATATCATCTTATGTTCAACTCAAAATAAAATTCTGATTATAATAATAAATCAATAAAAAAAAACTGATCCGCTCCACCAGACGACCGTGATATGTTTTAGCTAACAAAATTTAATCACGCCAACGCCTATCATTACTATATGTGAAATAAATTTTATTTGCATTTGGCTGTGTCGTGTCCCTTTTTCTATTAGAATGATTGCGCGTTAAAGGCGTGCCGCGTCTTTTTTGAGAATTTGATAGCTCATACATTCGAATCTTGACACTCTTGGCGCGTGCCAGGTGAACCAATGAAGGTGAACATACAATCTGATCCCCCAAAATATCACTGCTTCAAGCCAGCTATCTAGCGATCCGTAGATGGAGGTGTATCGGTCTCTTTTTGTCGCAATGTTTGTTACTTTGGTTTCGTCCCATACGCATCGGCCTCACTACCTACCGAGGACTGCCATATCTTCCACGACAACGATAACCATATGCTCAAAGCATATCACGGTACGCCGTAATGCTACGACGACCGTCATAGGGGACGCGCAAGCAACTCTCATCGTTATTGTGACTCGCTCAGTCTCTTATTTACTGTTCGCAGTGCCAAATTTCACCTACCATTTTTTTTTAGACACTGCCATTGGCGGTACTCCACCAAACTGCTGTTGCGGCCGGTTTGGTGCTCGTATATACGGTGTGCATGTCCCCAAAATCGTTGTCCTTCGATAACTAGGTATCTAGATAGACCTGTGTATAGCAAGGAACCGGCTTTAAACTATAGCGTGACACAACTGTATGGCTGTAGGCTACGACTTTGTTCTCTAGCACTCCCTTCTCAATCTAATAAGAACAGAGTCCTGTTTGTAAGTGTTTTTGAGCTTGTAGCTTTGCGCACACTCATATTGCGGAAAGCAGCTCCAGGCGCCTATCTAAAAGCCATCTTTTGCAAGTAAGGTCTACATATTAGTTGGCTAGGTCACAACCCCCATGCTAGCTGGGGGCTCACTTTAGCTCCCAGCTTTTGCTATCGCTACGAAGAGAAATCGTTACCTGTATCGAACAACACATTTCACCCAGGCTTAAAAAGATACGAAAAATTGCGACTTCACTTCGATTCGTCGTTGTCTTCACAATTTTTTTCTTATTTTTGTCGATTTTTTTTAGCTGTCCTTCGAATTACCCAATATACCTAGTCCGTTTCTCCCATTCTTGTTCGTACTGCCGGCTCAGCCGGTCCTGGTTCGAATCTGAGAATTGAATGGAGCCTTAGATTGCGGTTGATTTACACCTTTTCTGTTTGTTGACCAAACGACATCGGAAAGTGTATTCCCGTATATATTGGCTTTGTAGCTCATTTTTGAACCTTGCTCGGCCGTTGTCGGATAACTCATAACAACTTAATAATAATTTACTTTTCTCACTAAATACCAATAAGGTTCCTATGTTTACGCTGCAGTTACCCCCCTTTGAGGTATGCATAAAATTAGCAGCCGGTTTGAGTGTAAGATTTCATAGAAGTTGTCATGAAATAAGGTAAGTAGTTCAAAAATGCCATAGCAATATCCAGTGGAGTATCCTACAATAGTCTGAATCTAATAAAATTAAATACGTTTCTGGGATTGGGTTAGTAAACATAAATTGAGCAAGAAGTACAAAGTAGATACAAAGAAATGGATTCATGAATTTGAATATGGCAACACAGATTAAGGATGGAATCAAGGTTTATCTATTGCTTGTAACAAACAGGTTTAAAGTACCTTCTAAGCTACAGGATCTATTAGACTCTAATTAGAATCGTGAATGGTAGTAGTAAATTTGTGTATTCAATAATCACTCTGCCAAGCTTTTAATCGCAAAATTAGTAGGTAGATAAAAAAAAATGGTTTCAATTAAATATCATAAAAAGAAAAATAGGATACGCGGGCTATCGTTAAGAGCAGACGACCTACTCCTTTGGAAAGAGGAGTGAACTACACCAAGTTCGGCGGGAAGAATTCGACAAAGTTAGACTAAGGACCACAAAAAATAGCAGCAAAACCGTTTACTGATATAGCAAGCGTTTCGACACACCAATCTACCTATACAAACATTTTTTACAACCATACCTATTCTTTATAGGCTATTCTTCAACGTTTTGGGACGGCACGTCCAACGCAACCGTATATAACCATGTCCATTTTTGCCGTTGTCCCCCCCCCCCCCAACCTCTGTTTCTATCGGCAGCAGCAGCATCCCCGACAAGCAGTGAACTCCACCCTCACCACCCCACGCTCGCAGCGCCCCCAAGCATAAGAAGCAGCAGGAGCAAGTCGGTTCACATAAAAACTATCAACTCTCCCTCTTGCTCTTCCATCCGCTCCTCCACTTTGACAGAGGCGGCTTTGGCCGATTGAGCCCGCGCGGGCTCCTCGCCGAATCCTCCTCTCCTACTGAAACTACCGTCCTAGCACTGGCACAAGCAGCTGCTGTAAGCCTATAGTAGTCGGGTCGGACCGGTTTTCGACGGGTACGACGACGGTCGCAGCGGCGGCAGCCATCTTTATTTTGCTATTTTTTGGGTGAGCTGTCAGCGGCACACTCTCTCGTTACAGGCAGAGGAGCAGACTCTCCCAGACGAGGAGAGCAAAGGACCTATAGTCCTCACCGTAGACTCGCAGTAGACAGAACAAGCAGAGTGTAGCAGTTAGCTCAAGTCAGCGCAACACTTCAGTCGGTGGTGGTGCGAGCCACGGAGAGCGAGTCGTCCGCGTAGTGTAGCCGGACAGTGAAGTGCGCGCACTTCACTGTCGGCTACTTTACTGGACGGTCGATGAACATGTTGGAACTTCGTTAGCGTACGCATTTGCGTTAGCAGGTGATACGAAGACTGAGCAAGACAAGACGATTCGGATGAGATCCGATTGCGATCGGATCCGTCGGAGCCTCCGCAGTGCAAGCCGTAAGTAAAGTACTCGAGTACTAACCATTCAGTATTGGCAGTTGTACATCTGTCACTTTGATACATAGTATGAACATCGTGTATTTAAACTCGAACGCTCTGACGACGGAGGCTTTAGACTGCTCTAGTGCTCTGTAGCCTCGATAATGAAAGGATAGGAACACCCCGCGCGGACGTTCGTTTCGCGCGGCCATTTCGCGCTATTCGAGATTAGTCCAGAGCTTAAATTCCTGCAGAACGCGACATAATACAAGTTTCGCGTCATGACGGGCGTTCGAGTTGTGTTTCATACCTAGTATAGCCCAGTATTAAACGAAAATTATTACTTATTCGTTCGTTTTGGTGCCTTGGAACTAGAGCAGTACGGCGATAGGTAATGAAATGCTCGTTTCTAATAAAAAAAAAAATAGTGGACCATCCACATTTTCTATTGAGGAGCAAAGTTAGTTGTGTGTTACCAAGTGGGTGAACGAGCAAGCGTGGAGTGTCATCGTAGCGGTGACTGTATTAAAGGCGGTGGCGCCGCTGCCGGTGGCGGAGGAGTAGACCTGAGTCATCAGAGCTCGCCTACTCCCTTGTCGCCCCCAAACCCCCAGTCCTAGTTGACCCCCGCATGTTTCTCTGCCCTGGGTTTTCGCCACTCCGACGCTTATAGAGAATCTACAATAGATTCGCAGTGACTGATAAAGCAAGTAGAGCTGTGCTTTGACTTGCTCTATTCGAATCTCTGTTCCATTTCTGGTACTGAACCTATGACGTTCAGAACTACACCGGTGCGCAACGAGTACAATCTGCTATTGGAACTGCAGCTTTCGATGGCATCATTAGTACCTTGAATATACAACGGAGGACTATATAGTGCAATAGATGTGCGCTATGTCCGTGTGTGTGTGTGTGTGTTTGACTGTCTTTCCCCGTCGTTTGCCGGTTGAGCTCCCGGTCGGTCTTCCTTTGCCGGTCGCTCAGTGGGGACTGGGGGGTGATTTCGCACACGCTTTCGCCTCCCACTCAACTGCACTATGAACACAGTGTACTGGAGACGGATACAGAACATAGATCTACTTGGCTATTTCTTCTGTATGACCTGCAGTCTCGCGACCCCCGCGCAACAGAGAGGCTCAGAGACACTCTCGCCTATTAGCCATCATCAGCATCGCCATCATCATCATCATCACCACCACCAGCACCATCAACCGAATCGCCTACAGAAACGCTTGAGCTTTGCATTACAGTATCATAGTAAGGACTGTGCACTAGTGAGGACACTGAGGTTTGTAGACAAGCATACATACATGCAGACCCAAAGGCAGCATCTTTCTCTCCCTCGTTTTCTCTGTCCTTCCACCCTCGATGTTTATCGCAGTAGACAGCAACTGTTAAATTTGTCCCTCATAAACGTATCGGGTCCTTAGTCCTTTCAGGTCCTTAGTTTAACGGGCTTTTGGCGGTCGTTTCCTCTGCTATCATTTACATTGTTCTGCCTACAAGGCTCGTCGTTTACATGCGACATTCTTTTCTATGTCGCGCATGCCAGTCCTCATCGTGCATGCGACAGGAGCCCGTGGCACATATCCTACCCGCCTACAATTCCGTTAAAGCGACGGCAAAAACAATAGTTGGCCGCAGCGACCTTGATCTGCGTCACTCGTGCTAGTCTCCTATATCGTCACTACCGGTGCGATCTGCCATCATCTACGCGTGGAAACGGTGCAAGCGGCGATGGTTCTCTCGGGATCCCGGATTGTTGCCGAAATTCAAGGCTGAAAGGGGTGGAGGCGTCCTCAAGGCTAACTCGACGGTTGACGCCTGTCAACACACTCTATACATCTGTAACATATGTATTCGATACAACTAACAGTTCTATTCGTTGAACGCGTCGCATGTGGGGGAGTGTGATGCTGTGTGGGGAAGGAAAGGTTGAGGGTCGTCACCGCAAAATTCGAGAGGCCCGACTTGGCGCAGACCCGCGGCAGGCATCTCAAGTTCGACGCTTCGGGAGTGCTTTCGATTCGCCGCCAAACAGAGAAAGGTAAGCTGAGACAGCGAGAGAAATCGAAAAATTAGTGCGATCGAACTTGACCTGATTTGCCTGCGTACATCGCGACACTGGGTCACAGCCGATTAAAGAGCCTTTGGTCTGGACAATATAAGAGACAAGCTTTCCTTGGTCCTAAGAAGAAGTTGACCTATATTTGGCTGGCACAGAACACTACAGTAGTATAGTGCACAGACTGGAAGAGATATCACTCAGCGGTCAGGGTCTTAATAAAGGGTCGTAGAAGCCGTCTGGAGCGAAAGGTAACTAACGTTTTGGTGTGCTTTAGAACGACTTCAAACTTTGTAGCAACTGTCTTTCGTGCGCGTTGGTATTAGGCTATGCCTTCAATTATACTGCGAGTGATTGTCAAGCGTTTCCAGATGAAGAATAGCGGTTCTTCTTCTAGGCTTTTTGAATGTGTAAGATACTGCTCAATTTGTTGTAGTTGTAGTAGGCAGAATATAGGACCAAATGACTGTAATAAACAAAATTGGAGTAAATAAACGGTCGTCCACTTTATACCGATTGTTGTTTATTTCCAGTAATCGCATTCATTAGGTTCAATGCCACATCATTTACCAACAGAACGATAAATGCAATCTACCAATCAATCGTGCCGATGTTTTGCCATGAACTATATGAATCGATTATCCTATTAAGGGTTTGTATACGAGCGTTCACATTTTCGTAGGACTGTCAAGCAGACCACATAAAGACTATTTGATTGTTGGATCGAGCTATTTGTCCTAAGCGATGTACTAAACTAAAATTTTCATATTTATGTTTTGTTCATTGCAGAGTTGCAGGATGTCGCTCCCGTTACACGTCGACTTATTGCCATCGTTAGGACAGCTTGGCAGTCCTCTCCATTCATTACGGGTAGGGACTAGCTTTTTGACATGCTCGTCGTGCTTTGATAGCAACTTGGGAGGTCTTCCCAAGGTGCTGCCATGTTCGCATACCGTTTGCGCAAAATGTTTGGTGGAAAGCGGGCCCTTCCAATGTCCGCAGTGCAGCAAGCTCGACTTAGCCGGATGTTTGAATTTGGCAAGTCTCCGTCTAAACGATGTATTGCCTTTGTGCTCATCATGCGATGATCGGAACCATGCCAAAGGAAGATGTCGAGACTGCAACAACGAGTTATTGTGTGAGAATTGTATCAACGCTCATCAGAGAGTTCGTCTTACTCGAGATCACACTATTCTACGGTTTGCACCATCACCCTCACTTGTAAGTGTTACAGCGATCGGTAGTCCAGCATACCCAATCACGTCCGCTGAGATTATAACCAAACAGATTATCCTTGCCTATTTATCCTATTAAGCGTATGTATACACCTGTGTGCAAACGATAATCGTGTTCTATTTTTCTAACTCAGAAAAACGGAACAACATTGGTGCCTATGAGTAATACCAGATTCGATTTCAGGATCTTAAACAGTACCATCCTCGAGCATGCGTCGAACACAATGACAGCCTTTACATCTATTGCGACAACTGTGACAAGCCTTTGTGTGGAAAATGTACCACAGCCCACAAAGGGCACAGTCTACAATATGTACGAGAGGCAATAGATAATGGACGAAGCTTTGTTGAACGTTCCCTCAAGGAGACCGAAACAAAACTCAAGGTATTGCAGGAAGGCCTCGTGAATAATCAGGCCATGGCCAAGCGGGTCGAACAGAAGACGCATGATGTTGCATCGCAGATCCGTGGGGCTATACGCAGGTACAGTTGCTCAATTATTATTATTACTATTACTAAATTCACTTGTGGTTTAAATCGAAGACAGGTGCATCAAGATAAGACAGAGAGCACTGGCTGAACTTTATATTCATGTACGTTTAGAATTCTAGGTTCGATACTGTCATGAACCACTGCTTCAGAAAGCATTTTTCGTAGTAGAAGGATTATTTAGAAGGAAAGTTTCGATCGAAGTTAGCTGTGTTTCTTATGTAGATACTATGGGGATCTTGTCTCCTGTCAGGAGTAGAGGGCTCATTTTGCATCGTTTACGTTAAGCTTTCCCTGCTAGCGGTTGAGGTTCGTTAACATTTCGTTGCACCTTCTAGTTGAACAATCTGAAAATGACATCTGTTTCTGGCAGAAGTTGAAGGTTCTTATACGGGTAGGCGTGATTTAATGGGCAACTTTTTAGCGACCTGGCCGCGTTCACAAACACAGCACTGGCGCTGTCAGTGGTCCACTCGTGATTTTCTTGGGCACTGCAGTTCACTCGTCTCAGTTATTAAAAAGCTTTTAGCGTATGGCCTTATGCAGGTACGCGTTAAGATCTGGCTAGCCTGATAAGGCACGTGGTCCTAAAAGCGTGTACATCAATTTAATCTTTTTTTTTTTTTTATGAGCAGTTGCTTTACACATATCTGCATTTGGATATGTGCAATAATATAACGGTTGTGACAGTGTCGTTTTCACGACGATGAAATTGACGATGTAGACCTTCATCATCGATGGTTGGGGATTGCCGACTCATTTCCTCGGTGGACGTTACAGCTTTTGTTTTCTCGTGTCATACCTCTTTGCACACGACGTTGTTGGCATTATTATTGACCAATGGAGGCAAATACTCTATACAGCAAAGCCGGTGTTTGTTCTGTTGTTCGTATCGTATTTATATGCATACGTGATCGCCTAGGTAATAGTAGTAAGTAAATTACACGCATGTTGTGTACTGTAACTTAAAGCCACGTATTCCTGTCAGGTTTTCAAACCTTAGCGCCAGATTTGCCTTATATTGATTAGGGCGCTTTTTGAGCTCTTTTTGCTTTATTTTTGTTAGTAGGCTGAAGGCTAATGTTGAGGCGAAACCGGTAACCGATGCGCTACGAGGTCCATTACTTGTGGTAATATCTTAGAAATCTTAAAGTTGACTATCCTACGTTCGTATTAAGCTAAGTTTTCGAGCTGTGGTCTTAGAAAGTTGACTACTAAGTGCATACCTTCTTTTATATCAGTTCATATGCACCGATCATGTACTCGTGCATAAGTCTTCTGCGTCGTTTCTTCATTTCTAGATACTATAATTAGCTATTTAATGTTCTAATAGTCAAATTCATAAAAAAAACCCCAGTAGTAGACAATTACTATTGGTTGGCACATAACAGCTAAGGAAGATGTCTTAAAAGATGTATTGGTACCTCAATCGATCGAACAATATTTACGAAATTCACCGTTGAATAATCAATCAGTGGCGTGTTTCAGACCTATACAGAAAATAAACGTATTCACTACAAGATAAAAAGTTATAGAAAGAGAAAAATCTTAATGGTTTCAGACAACTCTCCTCTCTTGAGGAGCGAGAGAAAGAGTTACTATCAAAGGTGGAGTCAATCCGGCTGCTCAAGGGCAAATTACTTAAGGCGCAGCAAGAACAGATTGAACAGGCGACTCTCGAATTGGGGAAGCACGCGCGTGCCCTCCGTGACTTTCTTGCATCCGCTAGTGAACTCGACTTCGTCAAGGCCACAAAGGTGCTGCCACAACTCAGTGCCGCTGCAACCCAGGCTGGTTAGTAATGTACACATATGTAAAGTGAAGATATTTGGAGTTCTAAGTGTTATTTAGCGTTACAGCCTTCTCCCGAACGTCGGCACGTTCTGAGGTCACCATGGTGGTGCTGTGAACATGGGTAGATACTTGTACCTAGAAGTTGACTGATTAGCATCCCCACTTTGCGTTCGATCACAAACGTCGTTAGATTGACTTGATGTATTAAATTTGGTTTAATCATGTGTAACGCGCTATTATTCGCTGATTTTTGGCTTGAGCTATTTTCATTGTTTTGTGGATATGTGTCATGACAGTAGTTCAACGCTTTTTCTGAACTGCTTTCCGTTCAGATATCACGGCACACGCCCTTACACAGTGTTTATTTGGCTAATGTGTGACCAGCTTACCGAACCCCGACATATATTCTCCATTCTTCAATTTTTCTCTCCATTGTTACTAGGTTATCTATTTTTACATACATATAAGTACCCCCCGGCGGCGTAGCAGTAGAGGTAGTTGCCAATAAAGACGGATGAAATGTCCTTTCTTTACCGGAATGGGTGGTTTGAGAGCGAGCGGTTCTTAGCAGACAAAATGAGTGACCGATCTGAACCGAAGCAGGCCCATCTTTGATGACTCGACTCGACGTGAACTCTCGTCTGGCAGACTTTTGAGACCACTCCCGTAGTTACTGCTGGCGCTAGCATTGCTGTTCTTACTATGCCATGTTGCCCGTTTCTATTCGTTGAACTAGACCTAATTCAGGCTAATTTAGCGAGGTCTACAAACGCCTGACAGCTAGCTCCTCCACATGCAGTCTAAGTACAAGCATTCGCCTACGGTGGCCGAGTACGACCTGGTCGAGTTCACACTAAACCGGCAAGTAAATTTGATTTGAGCTCGGCATGACTCTTAGTGTGTGAGGCTAATGGATCAAAATTAGCGATGGAAAGAAGCGGAGAGGAAAAGAGAGCTCGCTTAACTTCTGCGCATTGTCTCTTACTCTTTTGAGACGTTGATGGGAGCAGGGAAGATCTGTACAGGCCGTCGACAGTTCCGCATGACCAAGCTCTTCTAATAGCCCTGAGAAAAACTCCGAGAAGCATCTACAGATATTTTTCAACAAAAAATGGAAAAACCCCCGGCCAACATACAGGATAGTATTTCTCGCATGTCTAACCCGAGCTCGATTTCTAAAGTAGGAAAAGCATGTTTTTGTATCCGTACCTAAAACTAGTAATTGAAATAAATGGCCGATCTTGACTGAGCAAATTCATTATTGTACTTATGAGGTACAATTATTTTATGTTATGAAAAAACTTCACATTAAATATTTGTCTATTGAATTGAAAGACTATTGATCTTGTTTAGTTGGAGCATACAATAGCGCAAATATCAAGTGAACACATCCAAGAGAGAGAAAAGGCGATCTGTGCTCAGCTCTTAGTTAGACCTGCCCTCGATGCAGCGGTCTCTGACGCGGGACCCTTTTTCTTATTTTATTGGCGTTTCAGTTCTGTCAACACCATACGAAGACGATCGTATTGATTTCACGATAGCAGATATACCATTACTTAGTAACCTCGGTTATATCTCAACTGCGAGCTTTCCCATGCATTGCAAAGTATTTGGGGAAGCTCTCAAGGGTGCCGTTGTCGGGCAGGTAAGCGCTGCATATTGTATATTCTCAGATTGGTTAGGTTAAACAAAGTCTATAGTAGAGAAAATCGCTGTTGAAATGTCAGGTTTTTAGTTTCGACAATAGCTATCATTTTACTGTTTACGCAGAAGATCTTTTCCTGACATGTCAGATTTCTAAATGCCTATAGCAAAACAACAAACAAAGTGGCCATTTCTTTGTATGGCAATTTATTTTTCTACAACGTTACCTTATCACTTGTATGAGCAGACTGCAACGTTTAAGGTTGAAGCCTACAATCACCTGTCAGAGAAGACGATAGTCGGGGGTGAACACTTCATCGCGGCAATCACGACTCCACAAGGCTTCACCCAACGGGTCGACGCCAGCGACCATCGTGATGGAAGTTATTCATTCAGTTATAGACCGTGTATCGAAGGTCTGCACCATATGGTTGTAACGCTTCGGGGTGCTCCAGTTGCGCAATCCCCATACAGTATCAACGTACGTTTAGGCAGGTGTGTATTGCCGCATAAAGACGGCTATTGAACGGCACGTTAAATACCCGTCTTTATGCGGCTTTAAGCGTGTTCTGTGGCTTCGTTACTGTTCGAACTAGAAGAAACATTACGCGGCGTTTACGGCAGGGTCTGTGTGGTTGAATGACACGAAGAGTGAAAATCAAACTTCACTGCAGATGCAATAACTTCGCTCGCCGATGATCCTTTACTTGTCGTTTATACAAAGCTGATTATATAGAGTAATGTGTTTCAAGTATAGCGATCAACTCGTAAGTTAACTCAAATGTTTCGAATTTTTCTTTTCTATATATTGTATAATACTTGTTTGTATTATGCAATTGCTGATTATACCGTTACTGTTCTAGGTCATATGAGAATCTTCCGAGTGAACGACCGATTGTGGTGTTTGGGGGTGAGGGTGAGAGAGAAGGTAAATTGTGTCGACCATGGGGAGTCTGCGTTGATCATCAGGGTCGCATCGTCGTTGCTGACAGATCTAATAACCGGATGCAGGTGAGGAGAATGCAAAAAAATCACGTCTTTTTTTTTTTATCAAGAATACCGACGGTAAAAAGCCAAACAGGAAGATAAAGGACACGAATGCACATATCGAAAAGGGCTTGCCCCTGACGTAGTACGTATGATAAATGGTGCATAACAGCACATTGCCAGCAATCGTCACTGACTCAATAACCGCTTTGGCAAATATAAACATCTTTAAAATGAAACTTAAGCGACATTTGTCCAGCATTGTGCTACAAAAAAACTACACTATCTACTGCGGCAAATCGATTGTATTGTGCCAAAGTATCATACGTAAATAGATTTCCAAAAGGTTTAGGGCGTCACATCGTATCTAGCCAGTGGAATGCGTCTAAGACGAAGGACAATAACACAGGCGGTCGTGATTATTTCAAATAACTTCCGAATCAAGGGTGCTCTTGTTGCGTTGAACTCAGGATTTTTTTTCTCTAAACAAAAAAGTTTGACCGTACTAAACAAAGCTCTGTGATACATGTCGGCAGCGTGAAACGTACGAAGTGCTTAAAGTATATTTCTTAGGTATCGAAACGGAGCATATATTAATGCGGTGAAGTCCATTCGAACATGAGAAAATTTAGTATCTCAGCAGCGTACAAAAAGAACAAGTCTACAAAAGGTATCAACGAACTTTGCTTCATCGATCGCAACTGGGTCCTTTTACAGCTTAACTTCGTGGTGACGAACTGACGCGCTTTGTAGACAATGCTGACCTCCCAATGATTTCTCCCAGAACTCAGACTCACGTTGCTTGTCTCGTTAGTGGTACCACACTCATGAGCTGCGCTCTCCTCTTCTATCTGTTGAGGTCAGAGAACGAGTGCATGGGTTATCCTCGCTCACAGATGCTATGTTATGATCAACGGAGCGGACCAGGTCACATCCCACACCCCCGAGGAAACTGACGAGCAGCTTGACCTCAAACTAGAACCTAACCGTATTAACGGCTCTGCGCCTATATATCTGATGCTTGCTATCGTTTGTGCAGGAAGGGACTGAAAAAAAGGCTGTTGTTGATATAGACGAATCAAACAATCCTGTCCCATTGAAACGGTACATAACCACTGACATATAGTCTAGTTACCCTTAAGTAAAATGCTCAGTTTATGTGTCGAATATTAACCGTGTCATATTGAAATATCTGGTTCTCTCCAGAATTCCGAATAGTGTATCTGTAGTGATGATTATTACTAGCAGCATTCTATAGAATCATCGTAGGGATTGCCTGCACGTTACTCAACGTCTACTGGTTACATCACATGAAATAGATTAGGCTCTGTTGTCTGAGACAGCTATGAGTGACTTGCGCATTTGTTGCAGATTTTTAACCCGGACGGTTCTTTCCACCTGAGTTTTGGGACTCCGGGCTCTCAGGCGGGCCAGTTTGATAGGCCAGCTGGGGTAACTATTGACTCTTCAGGGCGAATTATTGTTGCTGATAAGGACAACCACCGCATACAAGTAAGACATACGTCGTGTAGTTTCGGCTTTACTTCGATTTACCTTTAGTTATATGCTTCCTACTGACTATAAAATGTTTTCTGGTAGAGAAGCTGTTTTTACATTTAGTTGGTATAAAAGAAGCTGCCTAGGACTTCGACGCTGCTCCTGCCAAAATGGATATCCTCCTCCTCCTCCTCCTTTTATACTAAAGAAAACCTGATGGCCGTTTCAAATCATGTATTTGTTTCAGATATTTTCGGGTAGAGGAGACTTCATAACCAAGTTCGGCGAACGAGGTTCGAAGCTCGGCCAGTTCAATTATCCATGGGACGTTGCGGTAAATGCCGATAATCAAATACTGGTGTCGGACACACGAAATCATCGAGTGCAGCTTTTCTCACCAGAGGGCGCCTTCATCAATAAGTACGGTTTCGAGGGAGCACTCTGGAAACAGTTTGACTCGCCTAGAGGAGTCGCCTTCGATCTTCAGGGTATGAGGCAAACGAACCAAACAATAGTAAAATCGATAATCTCTCGATCGCGTATTTTCCACCAATAACTCCTACGGAGAATAAACAAGTAGAAAATATCGCGCAGTTGTTGTTATTGCCTGTAGGGTGTCTAGAGACAGTCGGAAGACATTCTATATCATTATTTTAAGTGAACACGAAAATGAAGTTAGACTTCTACATTTTTTATCTCTTATATCATTTAACAATCACCTCTTAACGAGCTGAAATCAAGGATTTTCTGTTATCCTAGTTTCTGAACCAACCAGGTGGTTGTCTTCTATTATTTCCAAGTGCATTTCACGATAGTTGCTGCTGCTGCTGCTGCTGTAAATCGCCGCACGATGTACCCAAATTAATTACACTTAACGAAGCCATTATATTTCGGTTATGGCTTCACGTAAAGGGCGCTTTCTCTCGCTGGCACTTTAGTTGTCGTGGGTCCGGCAAAGATCATACTAGAAGCTTCCGTTGGCGCTATGGCTGTACATGTTTCTCATAAGCTAACAATACCAGCCGTTCATTTTTAAAACTTCAAGAATCTTTTATGTACGCAGTACATATATAAAATAAGAGACTGGCCTTGAAATTGCTTATAGCACAAGTGGGAAGGTCGACGTCGCTGGTCCATAGGTGAATTTACTCATCAGAAAGGACAATAGCTGTTCCAGCAGCTTCTGTTTACTAGAACGTCGCTAATCAGGCCCATTACGGAACGCGATAACGACAGAGAGAAGGGCTCCAGAGAGTCATGAAGTTCGGCAGAAACAGCTGGCCAACATTTTCATTTATGATGATAGAAACTTTTTTAAAGGCCGAATTGTCCATTTCACGGGAATCGCACAGAATCCGTAGACGGTCGTCGTTGACCGTTTGTAGTTAGTGGCCACTTTAGCGTCGCGTGTTTAGTTGCTAGCTACATTAGTGGTAATTTGTGACAAAGCGGAAAATCGAACATAACGAATTACGGCCACTGCTTTAATGTTTTGTGAATTTTTCTTAAAAAGAAAATGCCCAATAATTTAGACAGATTGAAAGTGACCTGATTTGGAGCCCAGTTTTGTAGCTTTCTGATGTGATTACAACAGGATTCATACAGTAGCCGAACATTTAGATATCTAACCAAGTTTTTAGCTAAAAGAGCTGAAATCTCATCGTACCAAACCTGGTCAATACAACGTGGGCCGCATCACAATGAGACTAAATTTCCCTGCAAAAGCGCCTTAATTATAATCACACAGGTTAATCGCAGTTCTGGGGGTAGTTCTGAAATGTTTTTGGGACAAATTTAGAACTTAACGGTTTTAGAGCTTTACTTCAACAACCAAATAACCATTCTGTTATAGAACATTGACCGGAAAGTGAACGTTTGACAGGGAATGAATAGAACGTTCTATTCATTCCCTGTCAAACCTTTGGACCGTCATGGCTATTTGAAAGTCTGATAGCTATGAGCAATTGTACTTTTCATAACTGTATTTAGCTCTACCTAGATGCGACTATTTGAATAATTTTTCACAATAATAATATTGTAATTAATCTTAGATCGTCTAACAATAACAATCCTTCCCAGGTAACATGGTCGTCACGGACTTCAACAATCACAGGATTGTCGTCATCCGAAATGATTTTCGATCGGCGCAATTTCTTGGCTTTGAGGGTTCGGGTAGTGGTGAGTTCACGAGACCGCAGGGCATTGCAGTCGATTCTGAGGGCCATATCATCGTTTGCGACTCGCGTAACAACAGAGTCCAGGTTTTTCGGCCAGATGGCACATTTCTGTGTTCCTTCGGACAACCGGGAAGCGACTGCGGTCAAATGGATCGACCCTCAGGAGTAGCCATATCACCTGAAGGTCGTATAGTTATTGTCGATTTTGGAAACCATCGAGTGCAAATTTTCTAACGAAAAATGTTTTTGAAGAACGCATGAGACAGATTTGGCTAAGAAACTTCACTTGTTGCAAAAATTGGCTCGTATCAATTTGTCTCGGAGAAAATCAGTATCGAAAACAGTGATGATAAATCATACGAATCATATCCGAAGTATAGTAATCCCAAACAAAGTTATTTTATCCTAAAATTGTACATGTAGAAGTACTTGGTGGATAGATATTTGCGCTTTTTTTTTCTCTATTAGTTTATATAACACAGTTTATTGCCTATTTAGATATCTCAATTTGGAGATAAAATATAAAATGCTTTTTTGCCTTGCCATCATGCTGCTACAGGTCGGTGTATATTTAATATGCACAATTACGATGACAAAGACTAATAAGTCTATCAACCTAAATGAAGTGTCGAGTAACGTTACAGAATTGCAATTAAGGCTCAATGTGTCGTATAGAACTCAATAATCTCATTATCAATACGGAGGTTCTAGAAAGCCTTAACCGTTCAGTAATAGATATCACAATGAACAACTCTAGGTGAGTCACAGACTATTTGCTTACTTGCGCCCCACCAAAAAGGGGCATCTGATAAATTGCCTAGGAGGCCGACATTTGACTACTTCTGCAAGCATTACATTTTTGCAAACGGAATAGTTTGATAAGTGGAGGGTTCCTTCAAAAACGCAAAATCGGCGAACAGAAAATCTTTTAATGGTTTCGAGAAAAAGCGTTAGAAAATACACGATAACTCTAAAAGCAAAGCATATGCCTATATCAAGGTTTTTGCTACATGATATAATAACATTATTATTATTATTATGAACCTTCAAAGAGACCACCCTTGATGTCTCGAAGAAGTGGTGAGGGAATATGTCTCAGTCGTTGCCACAATTACTGATTCAGGTATGAATCGAAAAGCGGGTGTTGGAACAAGTGACATGAAACAACTTTTATATTATAATAATTAACAAGCTAGACTAAATAGCGGAGTGTCGACTAGTCATACTAAGAAGGTTTATAGTCGAATTCTTAATTAGGACATTAAGCGGTTATCGGCGAAGAACTTTAGAGTAACGAAAGATGATATATATATATATATATATATATATATATATATATATATATATATATAGTAAACTTAACGTTATTAGATTTTGCCCAAAAGTGTTTCCATCGACTATGCGTCCAATCAAAAACTAGTAACCAAAAAAAACACTCGAAAATAACATTGTCCTCTTGGAAAACTGATAGCCGTTTTTCCTCATCATCAGTGAGGTTAAATCGGTAGAACAGCATCTAAGTAACGGCGATTCCTATTGTACATACATATGGCATATAGCGCCGATTCTTGATCGTACAACGCGAATGAATGGTACGTCGCATCCATCTACACGGGAATAATTAACGTTGTTAGTACATCACTGTTTTTAATTAAAAATGGTGACGGTAATTCATTTATAAGATGATTGGAGTAGTGGAAGGCTGCAGTCAGGATCTGCAGTTGCGTGTCTTGTCCACATTTTGCACGTTAGCCCCTTTCACTACTTGACCATCTACCTTGTCCAGACCTTACGCCGTAGCATATACAACCAATGATCTCAAGTTGCATCAGAGTAGATCGGAGTTCCGGTAAATCTGAACCCCTCTGTCTAATTTACTTTCAGAAGCTGCAAAAACCTAACAGATGACCGACCCTTAGGAGGTTGATATAATCTGGCGTGTGTGATCTCTAGTCATGCCCAACAATGTAATGATAGCCCTAGTAATTCCATATATAATATGTAGATGTTTAAGACAAAAAGAAAGTATAGGTGAAGGAGAAAAGTTGATGCTGAAGGAGGCTCGGGGTGCTTATGACGGTACCCAGTGCAAAACCGACTCGGTCACAAAGTTCCTACGAACGAAAGTTCCTATTAGGTAGAATGATTTCGGCACGAACAAGCTGATGGTTAATGAAACACGTACAGCCGTTTTGCGGCTTTGAACGCTTTAGTTAATAGGTATACTACTATAATATTATATAATATAATAATGAAAGCTGCTAGAACAACTTAGTTATTGTACTTTACATTATATATTTAGATATATAAATCTGTATAAAAGGTCGCGGTAAGATGATTCGTTGTATAGTGACATCTGTCAAGAGATAAATACTAGTGAATACAAAATACATAGGTCTTGTGTATAGTAAGATTATTATTGCTGGAAGTAACGACAACTTTACTCCTAAATAAAAATTGGCTTCAAGCGTAAGTGAAGGAACTATTTACATCTCGATAGGGAAAACAGTAGCTGAACAGTGATAAGTATGAACTTGACGATGCCACAGAAGGTTTCTACAGCAACTACCAAAGATGGAGAAACAACAAAGTGACAAGACGAAGAATAGGTCCTGCATAGATTTTCTGGCAACTAAATCGAGAAGAGCATTGTCACTTTTCAACCATAACATTAATACTGCTAATGCTAAATAATGAAAATAGTTGTAAATTAGTTCAAGTTCCTACGCTGGTGACGACGGTGATGCTGCCAATGGCCGCAAAATCGCCGGAAATCTAATTTATTGGAAAATTTAACGAATGTAAAAGAGAAAAGAAGAGAGAAGTGTTAAAACGTATGGTTTAGTATCATCCGTCGCCAAAGGAGCAGACTATACAAAATGGCTACCTCATTATCAAAATATTACACCTTTTACATACTTCACAAGCTATCTTTCATCTTTTCCGACTCAGATTTAGCTTCCCTGTTTCTAAGCAACCCCCCCCCCCCCCGCCCTTCCATTCGCAGTCTGTTGACTGAGTTCCTATATTTATAGTATGTAGACAGAGATATATATATATATATATATATATATATATATATATATACGTGTGTAGTAAGTAGAGATCTCCTTTTTGTCCTGTGCGAGTCTGTATGTATATGTCATATTCCATGATGCGTGTATTACACTACAGTGATATATAGGCGTAAGAATTGCATACCTGTTCCGTGTGCATGTAAGTGGCGTGTATGCCTGAATCATGTATGTGTCTCGCATCATAAAAGTAACATACATTACTCTAATGAAAAAAAAAAAGCTAAGGATGGTTACTGTTAAAAAAAAACTGAGTGAATGGTTGGCAGCCAAACATCGCTTAACACTAAAGCTTTAACAATACCAGGTGTTATTGCTTGTGAAGATGAAATGACAAAAAAAGATAAAATGTAACAGAGCATATTTTTTGCTCATTCAAAATCAAACGGCTTTGTCTACCTAATCAAGTCACTGACTAACCAATCAAGTGCCGATGTTCATTTTAGAATGACGATAATCACGCATGATTCTACGATAGCGCCAAGACTAACAAGTATTCAAAAGTACCCAAATGAAAGAGTATCTGTTTCCTTTGATAGGGAGAGCCCTACTATTGTATCTTGATCCGTCGGCGTAAATCGAGTCTATCGTATACGATAGGCGTCGATCTGTAGGTAGACTGACGTAAGTACTGTGCCTTTCAGTACATTGAGTTGATATAATTTTTCAGTGGAAAGAGATTGAGATAGCCTGGTGCAGCGCTTCCTATCCCATAATATCGTACTGTGCTAAGCTGTCGGGACGTTCTGGAGATGAGTTCGTATGTGCCATATATATATATATATATATATATATATATATATATATATATATATATATATATATATATATAGCTATCATTCATGCAGGACACGTCTCCCGACAGATATCAACCGCACAGGTGCTAGATTTTGGCCGCTAAAAATCTGACACAAGTACGAATCTCTCGAAGTATGATAGCCGGCTAGCAGAAGGTGACGTAACAGGTAGAACATAAGTCACAGAAAACGTACAGGCAACCCTAACTACAACAATAATTTTAACCACAGCGGCGACAGCAAAAGGTACATTGCGAGATTTTTCCTTTGCGTGATCTACCGACAATACGCGCTCTATATTTCTACGAAGCTCTCACCCACAATGGGTGTCTAATCTACATTTATACATGTACTAAAAACATAATATATATAATGAAATGGATTGACTGGATGCGTGATTTCCAGATGAGTGATTTCAGGATTCGCCAAACTATCGGATCTGTGAATAGTTTTGCTTGAATCAGTGTTCTGCAATTATGGAGAGGGAACCACGACCTCCCGTATAATTTTTAATGGAAGTAGGTGCCGAAGGTAGCAACGGAACGGCAGACGAAAATTTCCTTAATATACATTTTTAAAACAATAACTAATGCTCAGGAAAGTAATACTTCTTTTTTAAAAATACATTATTTAAACTAAGCTCCTGATCTGCCGTGGTCTACCGCAGTAGCATGTGTCGATTATGAGGCCGTGCTTATCTTTTCTCGACAAGGTTTACCTCGTATGAATGGCGTTTACGTTTTTTTCTTTCTATCCCGCTGAAGCACTAGGTAATATGAAGCAAGTGGCAAGAGGAGCTGGATTAGGTTCTTCCGTCTTAAAAATACTTATTCCATTGCAAGCGAGACCGTAGTCAGCTGTCAGTTTATGTACACTTTGAGATCTGGGAAAGACGTTGCAACGACGCATAAATGAATGCAGAAGGCATCATGAGCGCCATGCAGTGTCACCGGACAATGGAAATCGGAGATGAACGGTCCATTTTTCTTTTAACTAACTCGTCTTAGGAGCTCAAGAAGCTCAACAGAAAACAAGCAACAACCTTGAGACCACAACGCTGTATAGGCAAATGACATATATGTCTATTGATCTTAATGTTATTCTCATGGTAATTTACGAGCACCTTATACAGATGGAACGTGTGAAAAAATTTTCTTACCATACCTTAGAAGCAGAAAGGTAGAAAACGATTGGTTCCGTAGTGATATTTTACGCTTGGTATGGATGCCATCTAATGATAACTGTAGCATGATCTCTTATAATATCACCGACGTAAATGAATTTTCACTGATTTTATACCTATTAGTTGGGTCGATCGCTATGTGCGATGCGGCGACACGAATGCGATCCGCCTTGATCTTGTCTTGGTGTAGAGGTTTGCAGCTCTTCTTTCCCTTCACTCATGTTGTTCATTCATGTTGTTTTTTGCACATACTTACCATATTCCGATAAAAACTTAATTCGTTTGTCAATAATTACAAAATTTCCTTAAGTATCTTTTATATATAATAAGGCTGCAACTACTCATTAAGCACGAATTAACTGATTTTTAGGGGTCGAGTTAAGTTTCCACTTGCCCAATTTGTGCACACACATCTATGTGACGGGGTGTAACCAATGGTATCTTATATAATACATAATTATAGTTTACATGAAAGTGGAGTACCAATCGATATTAACAGAAAAGCTCGCAAACTATAGTATGGAAATGAGAACTACACGGATGATTTCTAACGAGAGGCACTTCAAGACAAGGCTTCTCCAACAAACGATGTCCAATTCAACATAAACTTGCCCTTATTAAATATGGAAAACTACCCTCTAAAATAAACTTAACGCTACACGTTTGAGCGGCTAAAAAAAGCATATCTTATAATATTATCAACATAGTTTCACGCCTGATATATACATTGATAGTCACAATTTCACCATATCTGGGCGCTGACTTGACGCCTCAATATTCCGTAATGTATGTTCACTTTATTTGTTAAAGCTAGACCGTTTTGTGCGATAAGGTTTAATTATTGGATTGAACTGGGTTAGCCCAGGAGCTCTCCTTTCGCCGTCTTTTTTGTTCTAGCTCATCATTTCAGTCCGGCATACTTTGGGCTGTGGATGTGGAACTCTTTGATTGAACTAACCATTTAACCAATACACAAGCGTGGACATAGATACTTTGCTAGTATTACCTCGAATGAGTATAGTCATAATATAATATATAACATGATATATATAATAATAATAATATGTTGAGCGTTCACCTAAGAATGGCGCTGAACTTAAAATGGTCCCCTAGTGACCGAACGGAACCTGCGCCCACCTTGTAAATGGTGGTTAAATAGCACCTGAGTGACTGAATGAACGAATATACTTACAAATTGCGCACCTGTGAAAACACAGTGCACTACAGAATATGAGCAGAAAACAAAATACACAAAAACAGAATCTATTTAAAAATACAAAGAAAATCAACGTATCTATTAAAAAAATGCGCGTAATAAATGTAACAAACGATACGCGAGCGTATATGTGAAATAAACAAACAAAAAAAACTGATATGAATGAAATAAATGCCAAAAATACGTATTGTGGTAATTAACGATTAAGTGTTATTTACTGAAGAAAAAATTATGTATGAAGATATGTGCTTGCCATTAAAGATATATCTATGCATAAAATTTCTAGCAATTGAAATAGTAATTGTGAATCTTATGCGATTCGAAGCGTTTAATGAACTGCTGAGATATATCTCTCTCTTTTCGATTATTCAGCGATTTCTAACAGCTTTTTTTTTTTCGCATGCAATGTTTTGTTTTGATCGCACTATTCACCTTCTCACTAGGCGTCCTATTCGAGACAAGATGTCACAAGTTGCTTTCATAACTTCTTGAGATCATGTGTGGAACAAAGAGTCCTTCTGTAGTTTTCAACACATCGTGAAAGAAAAATTAGGCGCTAGAGGTAAAAAAACAAAAGCTGAAATAATAATTGATTAACCTCATTTTATGCAAACATTCCTTTCTGAGAACCCGAATTTTCCATCCGTTTTTTTTTTCGTTTTAATGATTCAAAATAGCTTTTGCGAGATTTACACCTAGATTGCTTTCCTGTGTCGAAAACCGATATTCTCGATAAATACGGAAAAAGTCCATAAAGGGATAATAGAGTGGAATTGAAAAATACGAGAAGAGCGTATACATATAAAGTATGACCGCAACCAAGAAATACTTAAATAAAAAACATGGGCCAACCCCACTGTAGTTATCTCCCAAAACAATGCGTCTTACTATATGCTACTATACTAATATATATAAAGAAAGCTGGAGAAAAAATAAGTAAAACCATAGGACTTCGTAATAGCAGGATATAATAGAAAACACCTTTCTTCTAAAAATTGTTGAGGTTCCCGTGGCCGTTGCTACAATAATATTCCGTATATATACTCAGCTTAATCAATTCCATGTGAACTTATTAAAAAATGAGTTATTGTACTTTTAAGGTAATTCTAATGATATTCAAACATATTTAGCATTACGTTAAGCTTACAAAAACTTTTATTTGTTCTTCTCTTGACAGACATATGTGGAATATTTAAACTGTTAGGTGGAACTTGGGAATGTCTTTTAGAGGCCGATTTTGAAAAATTTAAACTGACTTTATTAACAGCGGTAGCACCTTTTACCATGTAAGAAAACATTGACCAACAGCAGCTCACTTACATAGACGCAGCGAGTTATATATTAGCTTAACTTAACGCCAAAGTCTTTTGCTACAGAAAGAAATGTTCCGGCAGAGCTCGTTCATTGAATGTAAGACGCTTTTAATGTGTCCAGTGAAGCTGTTGCGCTATGCAACAATGGGTGCTAACGATCAAAAGTAAGGCTGGAATAACTTAGCGGGTCGAAAAGTTCGAGTTGCTTTTGAATTACGCATCGTTAGCAGACGAAATTTTTGTAAATATTTACATTGGGATTCTGGCTATGAGTAAAAATTGAGCAAAGGGGTCTTCACTTAAACAATACTTTGTTTGCATCCATTTTAAGAACGTCGATTAGAATGTTGAAGAACACAAACGAGGCGACCACATTTAAGGACTTCGAGCGGAAAAACGACCTGGTTTGCTCTCGAAAATTGTTGAGTTGGCATGGTTGATGCGTTACTTATCAAATTATTATAGTACGTCTTGAATTGCATGTTATGAAAGGCTAAGAAGAAGAGATGTTATGAAAGATAAATAAGAAGAGTACAAAATAGATTTGTTATGTGTAATGTTATTATTATTATATTGTTATATTAGCTACCACAAGCAAAATGCCCCCCTTTGGAATGCCATTGCTGTAAACAAGAAATTTGCGTCATCAGAGCATCTTGTCCTTCCTGGGATTAGTATATCCTTTCCGTGCTTTTTAGTTTTTCAATTTGATTACACCAGCAGTGAACTGTCCTTTCGCTAAAGGCCGCTTTCCCCATGTTCCTCCTAACTTTTGGCGAGTGTAACCAGCGCTCTCAGCATTGAAAAGTGCCAAATTTATCATTATGCATTGATTTTTGCTATTAAACAGTATCTCTGCTCCTAAACTCATTATTCTCTAATGAGACTGAATCAGTTTGTAGCCAAGGATAACCAATAACCTGAAGTAAATATTGGATGATCGAAAACAGATTGACGGTTTTTAAGCCAAAATTTAGATAGATATGGTTTATGTATTTCAAAGCAATAAGTTTGCCATTTTAACCGAGATCTATCTGCCATTTTTTTAAGTAATAAATATCACTTTATTTATGTGGTTCTTGGGAAAAAAATTGTAGCAAATAATTTTTGCGTTCCCTCGTTGAAACTAGATTAACGCGATCAGGAGAGTGCTGCAAAGACCAAAGCAGAATAAACGATGAATACATCAAAATTTCCTATCGAACTTCTTTTAGTTTTTTTTTTTACAGGTAGCTGAAGACGTATATGATTTGGCATATTTATAGTAACTACGACCCTTTTATTTTATCGATGTTCCAGTCGATATTATTTTTCTATTAGCGTATTATATAGTAGAGATCCGAATCGATGGTTCCTCCAGGCGGCAGCGATTTATAATGTGCTATATAAATGAAACGATTCCATCCATGTCCTATCAAACACTTAGCATCGTCTGCTTTGGCGTCAGTCCTGAGCTTACAAACATCCTTCATCGTGTGGAAAAGCGTTTCGGTATGGAACAATCACTTCGTATAACAGTAAAACAGACGGGCTGTCGAAACACGGACTAGACATAGGAAAATATTTAAACGGATAATTAGAACTAGCATTAGCCTACTAAATGCTTATTGTACAACGACTCGAATGAACAGACGTTATTCGAAATCACAAAATTGAGAAACACTCGTTACCAACTTCAGAAATTGGTACTTCATTGTTAACTCATTGCAAATCAAGCGAAACCGGCGAAGGGGTGTTTGTAAGCGGTTTTCTCAATCGGATTTTTTTTACATAAAAGACATTTGTCCAGACAGTCCATATTATACAAACGTTATAGTAACCATCGTAGTCATATGTAGCTTTAGTCATATAAGTTCATTCTTTTTAACGGAATGAGATCAAAAACACGCTGGACCTGAAGCTGCAGGTGTAATCTATTAGAATCCCGGCTTCGCAAAACAGTCGTCAGACTGGAGGCGTCTGTTTTAAAAAAATATTAGTGCATGGCGGGAAGTTTTCAAAAGATACTATAAATACTCGCAATATAGCATTAGCGTTTGCATAGTACTTCATGCATGTTAACAAAAAAGTGTCTTTCGTTCTTTCAGCGTGTAATACAGGATAAGGATCATGATGCTTTTTTTTTGACAATATGATGCCTTTATAGTTGTATTGAGTAGTTTATGATTTAAAAATAATAAGTAATCTATAATTGGCATTCACTGATTTGAAAGAGACACGCGTCTGCAGAAAGACAGCAAAATCAGAGGTTCTAATCAACTTAATTCGTCGTTCCGGTGTCGTGGGAGCTAGTGGTCGTACTTGCGATTGCATACGTTTAATTCTTTCACAACTGATGACTAATCTTATCTTTTTATTTCATTTATTTCCGAGCTTACAAAGCCCTGCTTCTATATTAAGTAGAAAGAGTTTTTAGAAATAGATGTAGACTCTTGCTATGTCATCTGCGCATAGTTTTTTAGGGATGAAAAATAGTGTTTGCGGTGGACGTCTAGAGAAGCTAGTCTGTTAGCAGAACCTCGACGAACGTCATAAGGCAACCATAAACCATTAGGAATGAGCCTGCTAAAATGTATGTTTAACGAATGTTTTGAACGTCCATCGAGTAACGTGAATCAGTGATTTCCATACATCTCGATTTCTTGTCCCACGTTAAGGACCCCAGGTAAGTAACAAACTCGAAAGCACCTCCAAGAGCGCGTTCTCTTTGTTGATATCCTTCGCCATTATCTTCGAACAAGCCACTAGTGTATTTTTAATGTCTTTCCCAAGCTAAGAGGCAAATCTAGTGCTCATATATTATTATTATTATATGTTAATCGTATTTGAAAAGGACTCAGAACAGGTTTAGGTGAGGAGAACAGCTGCAGTCAATGGGACAAGTTGTCCTACATGAGCTAACTTCACATGCTAGATTTTTCTAATATGGTGTTTAACCTACAATACACTATTTAAACGATATTTTTGCCTATAAAGTACGATTTCATTCGGTTGAATCTTTCAAAAAATAACTAACCTAAAAATTCGAACAGGCGACAAATTCCGAAAAGGTGGATATGGTTTATAACACGGTAGTTACTACTCTATGATAACTACAAAAGAAGAAAAAGACAATAATCGTAAAGGAGAGAAGTTTATGATGATGAAGGCTTGGGGTGCTTTTGACGATAGACCATGTAAAAGTGATCCGATCATAAAGTTTCTATTATATTAGGAATCGTAGCTGAGTCTACCTTTCTGTTTCAAGTTTTACGTCCGATATCGCCATTAACCATTCCACCAGACGGCCGGCTGGCTCCCAATGCGAAATGAAGAATTAGAAATGAAGGATAGAACCTAGATCACAACGTGACTGGCAGGCAATAGTGTCAGATTAACAATTTTTTTAAATTAGCGCTCAGACACTGTTTCTTCGTCGGCTGATACGTGGCCGTTTATGTATTTTGGAAATGAGAATCAAAATCACAAAATGGATGTACGTGTAGATCATAAGATAACCCGTATAGCACAAATATAAACAAACAGGAGATCATATGGTAACAATATCTGTCTACGAAAACCGAAGAAAAAAATATAGAATTACAGATAAAAAAAAAATCAATGATACTCAATTGTAATTGTCGAAGACAGGTTTCGAGGATGAAGGGGTCAGTTTTACTAAAACACACTACACCACCATCAAGGATCGCATTATTTTAACGATAATAATACTAATCCCTTCCATAATGGGAGTTTTGACGAAAATCATTTTTTGTTTCTGTTGCGGTATTTTCTCCAGGAAACGGCATAGTTGTGAATTGCTTAGTTGTGAAGTTCTTCTGGCAGTTAAGAAAAAGATAAAAGCTTGAAAGTTAAGGTAGGTTTTAATTTGACATGCAGAAGTAGCTCAAGATAATGGGTCAGGAATAACTATGTCTAGGAGCACGCGGTACCTTGCACAGAATAAAGCATTTACATTTACGCAGAATTTTTGAGCAAATCTTTTGAGTTCTATGCTCGTATTGCTTCAGATGACGGGCTTCCAACACGAAATATTTCGTCGTCTTATGGAGTGATTAGCTGTAATGGAACACGAAGGAATGCGATTGGGGTACGTGGAGTGCGACAGGGAATGTTCGATTTGATCATCCTAACGAGTGCACTGATGCTACCTAAATTCGACCTGCTACCAAATATACAGGGAAACTGGAACCTTTAAGATGTGTGCGCACCACAAAGTACCCGGATTTTGGTCCTGTCTAATGGAGCAATTCGTAGAGTGAGGTTTTGAATACAAATTTCCAGCTTTAGCAGCAAATGTAGTAGACAGCAAACATGGCTGTCAATCATGGATACCTGGAACTGTTAAATCTAGAGCAATAGAAAACTAAGCATCGTTAAAATGTGATTTGAAAAAGAATTTAGAATAGATTTATTACAACCAGCGAGCTTCTTTCAAACATCATAAGAATTCGGGGATAGCACGAGTTTGATACTTCTTCGATAGAGTACTGAAGCGCTATTGAACTTCACCAAATCATTTGTCTCAAACCCGATCGGCCTGTTTCAAATCATACAACGTCCGCTTCAGAAAGTACACAGGCGCGTTTAGGCAATTGCTATGTACCTCACGTAAAAGTCTACCTTCCTTTTACCAGTCTTACGACCCTAAGGGGCGCCTGGTCGCGCTGAAATGGCGGCGTGTATCTATGCGAAAACTATGCAATAGACTTTCGTTAACTGGCTTCGCCTAACCGTGTTTTAGAAGCAATCATATTCATCATCATTTATATTTATGGCAGGAGTTTGAAAGCGAAGTTCATCCCTTGATGGTTCGATAAATTCGAGTGGAACAGGCATATACGGAAATCTGGGAAACAGTATTCTTTGCAGATATAGTGCTTTGAAATCTATTCCAACAAAGAAAACATGCCTTTTCATAGGGCTTTGTCCCGGTCGCTGGACGCCTAAACGGAACATCGGATCGACCCGAAGTGTCCAATACATGAAGTCTTTGGCTGCATCGCTAACGTCCTTAAAATAATCCTGCGAAAAACCATCTCCTATGGTCTGCCGTAGCTTTTCTTCGTTATACCTCGAATGCATAACCTGGAGAGGTGACTTACCATAGAGAAGTGCATGGGTCGTTATGCCCACCGTCCACCAGTCTACTTCTTTGCCGTAATACTTTCTGCACATAATTTCAGGAGCCATATAGTACAGGGTGCCGCGAAAGGTTCTAGTTCTGCCGTTCGCGCATTCATCCAGACATTTTGCTGCACTAAAATTAGCCAGTTTGATATAGCCGTTACACTGTATCCACATATTGCCTAGTCTGATGTCCCGGTGAATGATATTAGCAGCGTGGAGATATTCGACAACTAATACGAGTTGAGCTATCCAAAAAACTGTAAGATCTTCTCCTACGTGTTTGCAATTTGTGTAGGCAAGCAAAGTTCCGCAGGGTGAAAGTTCCATCATAAAGTAGATATACGCATTGTCGTAGAAAGTTTCATATAACGTTAAGATAAAAGGGTAGTCAACAGCTAAAAGAATATGCTTTTCACGCATTGCTGCTTTGCCATGATTCTGTTCCTTTTTAACTCTTCGTAAAGCGTATGACACGCCATTTTTGTCTCGTTTATCTATACATTGAAGTATTGTAGTGTGTCCGCTAAAACCTAGTACCGCTATGAAATCAAATTCGTTACGGTGAAATTGTCCGGACGGTGGTGCTAACCTTGGTGCTCGCGTCAGCTGCCGGTAACGGGCCGTGAACTCTGCTACCTTGGCCTTTTGGTCATCTTCAAACGGACAGTCATAAATCGACGTACTTCGCTCTCCCACTCCTGGCGAAGGTGTAGCCCATAGACATCCTTTATACCAACCAATATTATCGTTACCCACAAAATCCAACACAAGCGCATTTTTCCAGCCTCTTACTATGGAGAAAATTGTTTTGAATTTTGACACTCTTTCTCCCATCTTTGTGTGCCCGCTATTGGTACTGTTGGTGACAATGATCAATAGACTGGTCGAACGACATACGGATGCTGACGAACTTCCGGTGTGACTGACAGCAGGGTACGACGATGGAATCTCTGGGACATAATTTTAGGTGGGTCTTAAACAACCTCGTCATGATCTTTCCCTCATCATCGTTTCTCTCAGTCAATGGTGACTAGTTAAAGACAGGCGTTGTGTTTCAACAATATAATTGACGACTGTCTCAGCATCACTATCCGTCCTGATAAGTAAAACAACGCGACTATCTATAGTATGCGCGAAGCCCTTCTAACGTAAAAAAGCTTTTAACATCAAGAGTCGTCACCTGTGTATTTTATCTACATTAAAACACAGAATAGCCATGGCAAGTATTTATAGCCAAATAGTACACTCTCTAATCGCTTGACGAAATTGAAGCATTTTGTCTTTAACCTGCAGCACTACATAGCTTTAGCCATTGACGTTTCTCTAAACGTTACTACGGGGGTTGTGAGATGCGGGCTAGACTCCGTAGCCGCGCCATGTACGCGGCCCACTCGTTATTGAAAAACAACTTTTTGGTAACAATAAATGAAAACAGTTGTCCCTAAGACAAAACCACTAAACTACAATGGAGTCATATATGATTGTCAGCCTTTGTATATAGGCCCCTTTTTTATTCAGTCTGTATCTCTATCAGTCTATGGATCCGAAAATACAACGAGTATTCCTCGTACCTAATTAGAATAGCTCACGCTGACTTCATTCGAAGTATCACAAATACAAGTAGAAGACGTATTCCATAGTAGCTGAATATTATCTGAGGCATGTGTTACCTCTGGTGAAATAATTGCAAAGATAATCATAATATATTTAGAAATTCCATATAGTGCATAGGGAGGAGACAACCTACGTGACGAAAAACGGCGAAAAATGTTTAAAAAATCACAATCGCATTTACTAGAAGTACTATTAATAATGATAGTCCCGCCCTTTTTAAGATAATGATATGGATCTTCCTTACCACGGTAGGGGGGTTACCTAGCTAACCTTCACCCATAGATGTACAAACCATAGGTACTTAACTTGTATGTTCGAGAATGAATATAAATAAAATAAGTTATAAAACACAATGCTAACTGTTTATAGAAATGAGTTACAAACATGTTTAGCATTGCTCTAGAAATTGCACTGAACTTACAACGTCTGCTAGTGACCGAAGAAAGGTTGCATTTACCCCCTATACTATACTGAAATTTTGCTTGGATGGCTAAATCTCTGATTGAACATTGATAAATGAGCCATCAAGAAAACAGAAAGGAAACTTAATACAAGAATCTACCCAGAAAAGACAAACGCTAAACCAATTAAAGGAAGAGGACCACAGGCTAAGTAGTAAATGACAGTCGAACGCACACATATTTCGAACAAGGATTCAAATAATAAATCTATTCCATTCTAACATACAGGCGACAAGGGGCCATGTTGAAGGGCATCATTTCGATGATAGCTTGTACTACTGATATTAACAATCCTATCTTTTCAAACCAAGAATTTGCAGACAGATTGCGGAACCTTTCAAAAACAGCGTCAGTGCTTGCTATGGTCGCTTCTGTGTGTAGAATTGGATTGACAAAAAAAACAGTTGCGAAAACTGCATGCCTGGAAAAAAATACAAACGTGGAATAATCCTATAAATAAATGCCATATTTAACTGTGCAGAGCAAAATAAGTAGGGTTGATTTTTCCCTTTGAAAATCCACGGTCTCGATTGTTTCCTGATAAAAATAATCAAACCTTCTTCCAAGGTCTAATTGTATGCCTATTGGATTGCCGTCAAAAAACTAGATGGTCTAAACTGGATCGGATATCTCACATTTGCTTAGAAGAGCTATTAAGCTTTCCCCCCGCTTACACTAGGGTATATTACGGGATTTTTTGTACCTTGTTTGTTTTTTGGAACAGAAGACTAAGTTTACGCTGCAGATATTGCAGTGTTATCATCAATCTTTTTCGTCAAACAAAGTCCACACATAAAACAATCATGAGAGCTGTTAAAGCCATTTCCGAGATCTCGGTCCAGATGTACATATAATAACGCCAATTTATTTTCCGCCTCACAAAAAATACAGCGTTTTACTTACCTTTTAGCAACAGATGTATTTATTGTATATTTAAATTTCTTCCACCTTTCAACCAACTTGCTTGTTCTATAAATCCCATTAACATTCTCAAATCTAAGGTTAATGAACTCATTGTGATAAGATCCTTTCATAATAAAACATTCTACTTTATTTGTCCGTGCATGGGAAATGTGTTGATCTGATGCTAAAAAAAGTTCACACTCCGGCTCTCGCAAGGGCACTTTATAACATTTTCTATGGCTAGTGTGGCATTGTGATGGAGAAAGATGACACTATCTCATCTTGCAGGTCTTTCCTGTTAGACAGTTTTGTTTGCCCGATGAGAGTTAGCCATATCGAGCTGTCAGTTAAGCCTAAAGACGCAGATAGTAGCCTTTCTTGGATGAAGATCTGGCTTAATTCTAGGCTTAAGTAGGCGTACGCTTCGAGGCGATTCATTACCTTCTTTGCTTCATATTAAAACGTAGACAGAGTACTTCTCGTTACCTGTAGCGACTCTGCACAGGATCGTGGTACTATAATGTTAAAGGATAACGGAGAGCTTATTGTTCCTGTTCTTAACACAGTTTACGAGGCACTCAAACTTATAGGTCAATCTCTTTAAGGGAAAACTGTTGATGATAGCCGCATTTCACCTTTTTGGCCAATTCACGAGTTGTCTTCCTTTAAAAGTTCGTTAGGCGATCCCCATCAGTTTCGGATGGTTGACTAGAAGTACATCCTAAAGGTTCAAGACAGTATTTCTGGACTTGAAACACCGCATTTGAATAACCCTTTAGGCAAGGTACCCGTATCATAGACCGAACAAACATTTGGCAGCTTCTTGCTCCAGAAGCGCCCAGTCTAACGCTTAGTCTGAGACAAAACTAACTGTTGAACTAACGTGCTAACGTTACCACCGACCTATGAATTAAGGTGGCTACTCGACTTGTTACGTTCAAATGCGACATTTTAACCCCAAAAAAACACTCTCCCCTGGGCTCACAATGAAACAAACTGTCATCGTTTGCAATTCATACAAGAGTGTCTTAGATAAAGCTAACGTAAGTTTTCCAGAGAGTCTCAGAGTGGGTTTCTATTGCACTGCTCAAAAGGCCAATGAGAAAGTTAGGCGACCTCATAAGATTGAGCCGCCTTTTAGACTTAGCAATATTTTTTGGAATGCCATAGGGTCACGCAATTCTGTGGACGACCGGTGCTCGAAATTTAAGTTCTTCTTTTATCAGTTTCATTCTGAATACGTTATTGTCAGTCGATCAAAAAACGTCTTGTAATATTACATAGGGATAGAAATAGTAAAAGTTAACAGTTTAGCTGTTTGTAAATCTGAAATTCAGTTACTTCAGCGAGAAAACTTTATATGTCATCAAAAGCAATCTGGGTTACGTAAAAACCCGGGCCTGATACGTTTGGAAAGCAATATATTGCTAGCCTATTAAAAGAACTATATAATTCTAATCAAATAGAAAATGATGAAAATTTTACAACTAGGTGTACATATTGTATTAAAAAGTTGTAGGGTGATTTTGACCCGTTTTAGAGATCTTTATACTCGTCTTCGTTCTCTGGAGGGGTAGCTTCAAAGGTAAGATAATGCGCTGTGAATTTCTTTAATTGGCGCAGTGTAGGCACGTAAAGGTGAGAGGTCGGAGGATTGACTCGATATGGATATAACTGTCTGAAATAAATTTTATTAAAAAAATGTACCTTGTTTTACCGTGCTCACGCCAGGCCGCCGGAGAGCTAGAAGAAACATATGACCAACCATCCGGTATATGAAGCCTTCGCTAGTCGCAAAAAAATCGTTTTTTGAAAAATTATTTCTTACTAGCTTTTTAACGCCTGCTTCAGTATAGAGCCTGGGCATAATGTGGAGGGGCAACTTGATATAAGAAAAAGGAATAGGTGGTTATGCTTATGGTTCACTAATTCACTTTCGCGCCATAAGAATTTCTGCAAATGACCTGATCTGGCGCCGTATGTCGTTCTGTAGGAAAAAAGAAGCTGGTCTTCTTTAGCCATTGGTCTAGGCATATTGCCGTATCAAAATCTGCCAAGTTTATATAGCTCTCAGTGCAGATCCAGATATTATCCGGTTTAACGCACCTCAGCAGGGTGCCAGCTGCGTGATAAAATAGATAAACATTTCTTCGAAAAGCCTCATAAAGCTTTATTATGTAGTAAAGCAGTAGCTGAAAGGATAGTTTTTGCACCATAAGGTTTTTGCATGTTCACCGTTTGCAAGGCATGTTGCTTAGAAAACTTGGAACACCTTTACCCACTAAAACAATGCTGAGATCGAAATCAGTACGAAAGAGTTCGGGCGATGGTTGTATTTGCCCCGGTCTTTTTACCGAGCGGTTAACTGGGCTCTTTTGGCTATTTGATAACCATCTTCATGTAGATAGTTGTCAATCGATCCATCTTGCTACCTTATGGGCAAAATTCTATTTTTCCTACTATTCCTGATAGCAAGGTCAGTCTTATACTTTTTTATTTCCAATAAGGGGATTTTTCTTACTGATTTCAACACTTGTTCCTATGTATGCTCACGCGCTACAGATACATGTTATAGTCGCTCCTTATGCCGCTGCTTATCCACAAGGCTGACTGAGCAGGTCATAATAATTAGGAAATGATGATGGGATTACAGATTGGCAGAGTTTGGATACAATAGAAAAACCACAGGGAAAAAGTTTCCAGTATGGTTCTTGGGAGATGTAAGCTTAAATCACCGTTTCTATCATCAGTGACTATCATGATACAAACGCATTACTGCAGCCCGAAGAATCAGTTCCATGTTCCGGTCTTCGGAGATTTTGCTTCAGCTCGTCTAGAGTTGATGGTAGGGTACGTTTATACTAAACGAGTAATGTGGGCCGATTAGAATCCTATGACACGGGACGATAAACGGAACGCACTTGCGGCTATGTGGCTTGACAAATGTCTCACTACGAACGCGGGCGTCGACGGTCTAGTATAAATTCAACAATGTTTGCTCGTCTGCGCTCTATTTAGATGACCCGTTCGCTGTAAACGATTTCCTCGAAAACACTGGAATGAATTAGTACAGATGTTTTCCTTGCACGAAGGGATAATTTTCGAACATTTCTAAAAACAGACTCCCTAAACCATCACAAAGATTGCGCTTAAGTTAT